ATTGCAGCATGATATTTCAGTTTATGTGTATAGACATATTGCCAAGTGGTTCCCTTTATATCTCACTGGTCTTTCCGTGCATACTGCGCTTTCAAACACTCATCTTCTCTCTGCTATTTCCCCAAAGGTCCCATTCTCTGTAATATCGCCTGCTCTGCGTATGTCTCCTCAAAGTGTCTTTATTCACATTCATGTCAAGTCATTGAATACTAACACAGGTATATGACACCTTAAAAGCCTTCAACTGTATGTAACTAATGCTTGTGTCTCCTTCTGTAACCAATGAGTGAAGAACTCAACAGCACATTCGCTATAAACTCAATCTATATCGATGCTTCTAACCGGAAGAAGAAAAAACAAGACTTTCTTATCATAGGCAAAGTTTTCATGTTGCTTGAACCTTGTTTTATCTGATTTATCCACTAAAAGACGGTTAGCATACGACCAACGGCAACATTTCTCATTCTTCAGTTAAATGCACAATAAGTTGTTTGTCTATTCTCATATCATTTTCTGGGACTTCCTGGTTGGGAATTAGCAGTCAAATTGTGTGTAACGTTTCAATATGTCCTGAGGAACGGTGAAGAAGAGCTGAAATTATTAGTCTATCACCTGTAAATGAATATTTTTGTAGATCTTACTACTTCATGCAAAATTGGCAAAACCTCTCCATAATGCTGCAGATGTGCTGCGTTTCACCCTATATTAAACAGACAAAATGAAACAAGAGGCCGGCCTTTCTTATCTCCTGTTCCTCGGCTGATTCATAACGCCATCGGGCACGGGAGCTCGCTACTCTCATTTACGATGGCAATTATGGGGAAGTGGCAGGGATCATTCTCCGTATCTCTACTCAGTATGGAGGAGATGCGAAACTGCATCGACTTTCCCCGGCGTTAGTGGCCATAATTCTGCACGTCTGGCGGAGGAGACGGCAACTTCCCCTGTGACTTAATAGGGAGCTTGAGAACTGAGGTTGGTGAAAACCTCTTTTTGGTATTGGAGGAGATTTGTGTGCGCTCGTCTCCCCGGTGGCGGTTTTCACAGCGTCTGTTTTGAGTGAGCTGACGAGCTGAGGATTAAAAGCTCTTTGGCAAGTAGCAATATTCACTTCACCAGAGGAAATGAGGCCTTTCACACCTAAGCCCCGGCCCCCCCCCCACGAGAAAAAGGAAGGATATAGGGGGAAATATATACACCAGAGTTGGACAGAGCCTCTTATTTATTTATGAAAGGAAGACCGGAGAGCGACAACAATGCTTATCCCGCTGAGGAAATACAGCTCCTTTTGTGTTGTTTGAAGCGGCCTCGCCGTTGACCGGGCAGCTGCTGACATCATGTGAATAGACGGCGCCCAGAACGCGCTTGTCTGTGGGTTGAGCTGCAGCGAGCGGGAGGGCAGAAGGTCTGTGGCTCACAGGCCTCATGGTTCTCTCTCACGGCGGAGAGAAACCGGCTTGTTGGTGCCCGGCAGCAGATGAAGCAACTCTGATGACTTTGGTAAGATAATAGTTTGTTCTTAGCTTTTATCTTTTGATGCTTTTTTTGGGGGGATGCAAAATGAAGTGGACAGCAATTTATTGAATTAGGAAGAAGGACAGTTTGTAGGATTGTGTTGGAGCTTTCAGTTAATTCAATTAGCAGTGTGACAGTGTGTTTAACAGGCTTTTGAAATAGTTGTCAGTTCCGTTTTCCCTCTTAAGTCAACATTAGTTACGGCTTCGTGAATGTGATGAAATCCAAAACCAAAGACATTTGAAGACGTTACCTGGGACTGTGGTCAAAGTCTAAGGCGATATTGACACATTAATATATTTTGCTTGGCCAAAGTCCAAAACCAAAAGGTATTAATTTCAGTTTGATGTGTGGGAAACAAACACATTAAATCCTTGTGTTTGGAAAGCTGAGCAAATATCCACTCCTTTTGCTTACTTGAATTTATGTCAGTTATCTTTTGTCAACCATTTATAGACTCATAGATGCATCAAGGACATGAATTAGTCGCTGCGAGAAGCGCGTGCGCTTTTCCCCTCAATGGGAGCGTCGGTTGTTGGTTGGACATGAAATGGGTCTTGAAGACGGCCCTAATGGACGCTGAAATCAGCAAAGAGTTCCTGCCGGTCTCTCTGGTCACGGCGGATAATGTGAGTTTATCACCTGCACATGAGGCTTAAAAGGCTCTGGCGAGATAGCAGCGAGCCCGCTGTTCTAATGGGCCCCAGTGTAAGTGGCTGTGCTGATGCATACAACCTCGGTGATCTCCAAGGCCTCCGCCTGCCAGCGTCTACAAGCCAAAAGCGCTCCTGTTACACGTGTCCTCGCCCAGTCGCGCTGCATGCCGGGAACCTTTTTTTGGTGAAGGAAAATCTCTCACTATGCACAGCTGTCGTGCAGCTTCGCCTCCCGACACGGTGAGGTTCCAGGGCTTTTTGTGTGTCGACAACAACGCAGCCCATTATTTTTCTTCACCAGAATGTTTAAATACGTTTTGTGGAAAGAACTTTCATGGAGGAAATACAAACATTGGAAACTATCCACATAAACGGTGCAGAGCAGGAAGGAGGATGAAGAGGGCGGGGCTGAGTTTAGCTCATCAGTTGAGCTGCAGCGATTTTCCCTTTTGAGGATTGAGTTGTTATTGTTGTTCAGAGTGAAATACACACCTGTGACATTTGCGTTGTGTAATGTTTCCAGCCGCAGCTGTTTTTAAGTTCCCCCTCTGCATACGCACCCCGGCCTTCTCACATAAATCCACCCTCTCTGTTTAAGAGAGCTGGAAGTCATGATTTGTGGTGTGAGATGCATGATGATGAGAAAGTTGTGAATGATGTATGGGTCAAACACGTTACACGTGCAATAAACAAGAAGTCATATGCCGTGCATGAAGAATTTGAGTTTAGTTTGCAACATGTTTAATTAATCATTTGATTAATTTATCAAATGTAGTTTCATTTTCTGTTTGATATCATTGTAAAATTAATACATTCTAGTTCTTGACTGAACTGAACTAGAATGTGCCCTCAGACGAACTGCATGGTTATTCTTTCATTCGCCTCAACGCAAAAGGTCATTGAACTACTCAAATCACAGCAGGTGAACAACAACAACTTTCGCTGTTTTGTCGCCATTCAACGGAACGAGCGCAGCATCGCTGTGCGGTTCTTCTGTATCGAGCAACAAAGGGATTTAAAAGGTGCAGTTCCATTAAACTGCACACCTGGAAATGCAGGAGCCACCATCATCACCATCATCATCATCATTGTCATCATCACAGTGCTCATAATCGTCGCTCCATGGAAACCAGTTAATGATCACATGGTGGGGCTTGATCCACATGCTCAGGCAACAAGACTAATCAAACAAACAAAGGGCAATTACACAGGGCCCCCAGTAATGGAGAAGGAGGGACACATAACCGAGGTAACTTTGCTGCAATAAACAAACGGCCACTGGTGGTTTTTGGTTGGTTGGATGGGAAGTGCCGTTCATTGGTTGCAAAAAAGGAATTGTTAAACTGGAGGCTAAACTCCCACTTTATTAGAAAACACATGTGCAACGACATGGGGAAATATTTGCTTTCTTGCCAACAGCCAGATGAAACAATGCATCCGGTTTGTGAGCACAGTTTAGCATAAGAGCAGGAAACATTTAATGAATTAAAAGTTCGTCGAGAACATTGCAATTGAGATATTTCCCTGTGATGTTCAGCACTAATTAGTGAAAGTCGCCGGTGTTTGAGCCCGACGCTGAAGGGCAGGAGGTGCTGCAGGTGTAATTATGAGCCCTTATGAGACGCTGGCCTCCGATGGCGACGTGGCTCGCCGATCGCTTCACCGCCTGCCCGTCTAGATGACAATCCATCAGAGGGTCACGCCGCCGTCGGGCATACAAAGTGCCCCTTGGTAGACGCACTCGGTGAAATGCCAGCAGCCCAGAACTCTGTGACATTTTCCTGATCTGCCCGTTGTACCGTACGGGGGCTTTGCAGCTCGCCCGTCACCGCAAATGACACATTCCCAAACGGCGTCTGCGTGGGCAGCGAATGACCCTGGGCGGCTCCCTGTTTGGCACGGCGCTCGCATACTGCACACCAGCGAGAAAGAAAACATCAACAACAACAAAAACTGTGGGGCCGTTTTGAGTGATACACAAGGAATGTGAGAGGGAGGGTTTGAGATCGGACCGGCATCGGTTGAGGATGTTCAGGGTCTGAAGCTGTAGGAGAGGAGCGACTGAGCGCAGCAATCTCTTCGCTTTTTGTACTGTTTCTTTTTAGGAGACGGCCTCATTCCGCGTCCACTTCTCTCTGAGGAGCTGGGAAGGGTTTCGGTGGTTGGCAGGATCCGTGACCTCGTTAAATACGGGCTGTGAACGAGAAACGGAAGAGGAATGAATGACTAATGGGAGCTCGGCTTACTTTTTAACTTGGGCCCTTTCTGGCCACGGCTTTTCCTTTTTCAATGGTTAAAAGCGTTTGTACTCTCCGTAATCATCAATGCTCTTTACAGCCACCCACTGTTTCCCCCTAAATACTAGCTGTGTAAATACCGTAATAACAGACAATTGGAGCGATTGTCTGCAGCTTTTGGTCTTTCCTGGTGTAAGTAGGACAGCCTAGAAGCAGAGATGCCTTTAGTGTCATTATTACTGCTGTGCAGAAATAGGAATTTTTAACACCACTGTTCTTCTCGTCAGCTATCGTCTCCCGGCTGCTGTTGGCCTTTCAAGCAGTCCCCTTCTGCCCACTCGCTCACTCTGCCTTGGTCATCCTCTCCCTGAAATACCATTTGCATTTTTCTCTTGAAGTAGCCATATATATCTTTTTTTTTATTTTTTTTTCTCCATTTTTTGAAGGCTTTAGCCGGTAATTCCTGCGTCACGTCCACATGACACAGCGATAGGTCCTCCCCCGCGTCCTGCAGGAGACGGCAGGGTGGTTTATTTGCTTCTCGCCACACCTCCGCGGGCCGCCTGACAGCCCACTCTTCTTATGTCGGCAGGTGTAATGAGAGCACTGGTCATGGACAGATGATGGACGTGGAGACGTCGTACTCGGACTTCATCAACTGTGATCGCACAGGCCGCAGGAACGCTGTACCCGACCTCGCGGGGAAAGGGGAGGGGGAAGGAGCGGCCAGCACCAGTGAACTCACCAAAGACCTGGCAGGGATGGACCTGAAGGCTGCAGGTCAGTAAACTCGTTTTTTTAAACTGGACCGTATTCTGATAGTTAGACTGTTTTCAAAGGTGTTTTTAAATGTAATTTAACACCAGTTAGCCAAACCGAGGGTCTGACAATGTGCCACTATTGCGTTTTTATTTTGTTTTGCATTATCCTCATTCATACTTATCATTGTTATTGCTCAGACTGGATACATTACCACATATGTGCTATTTGAAACTGTACTTTTGAATACTAGTTCTATTTCATTGCTTATTTTTAAAACATTTTTTTGAATTGAATTTACCCGGGAGGACGACAAACTAGACCGCTTTGTTTGTGTCTTTAATGTGCGAAAACATACGCCATATAAATAGGGGGTACTGCTCAGCTTGTGGTCCCATTGATATGCTGTCGTTTTGCTTTGTTGAGAGTTAAATGAGTTGAATAGCCGCACAATGACTGACAGTCCTTGCTTCCTCTGCTCCCACCAGAATGTCAAGTTGTCCCAGTCTGACCATTGTGCGTTGCATTCTTGTTCATGCCGACTTCCTTTATTTACAAAGAGTTTTCCATGACACGGAAAGTTTTCCATGACATGGTAACCAATCCAACAGCTATAAATCTAAGTACTCTATGTCAGTTTTGCTGGGAATCGTCAGGTTTGGAAACGTCATGCTTGACATTATATGTCTTTTTTCTTTCTTTACCCTGAAGGCAGATCTGTTTCCTGCTGCCAAACCGCCTTTGTGCTTCAGAATACACATCTTAACATCTTTGACTGATTTCATTTCCTTTTTTTTTTTTTCTTTCTTCTTCTATCATATTGTTTCCTCCAGAAGGAGACCCGGGGGCCTCTCCGGCCCCGGAGGCCGAGGGCTCCACCAGCCAAGAAACCCAGGGAGGTGGAGGTCCATCCTAAACTCCGCCTGAGACCAAAGGGAGTGAAGAGCAGAGAGGAAGCTAGCGAACGTGGAGAGACATGGAGGAAGGATAGAGTGTGTGTATTGGTCGTCCCGACCGGAGACGAGGACACTTATGCGCTCGCCGCCGGCATGTTTGGAGCATCGGCGGCCCAAATGTTTCGCCTTTTCATTGGCTCAGATTGTAACGTGCGGAGCAGAACTGACCATTGAGATGTTGCTCTTGTGCTCCAGGAAGCACAGGAACTCTGGAGTCATGTCTGCGGAGATGAACTGAGCTGAACAGAATTCATTTACAACACTCACAAACATTGTTCCGGCCTCGCGTGGGACCGCGTCTCGCAGGGCGTATTCATAATCATCCGTTTGTCTCTTTCTTTCTGTGTACGCTCGCGCGTTTGTGACGCTCTTGTCCTCGTCATTTTTTTTTGTTTAGTAACAAGACATAGTCGCCATTATGCTGTCGTGTACGGACTTCATATTTATTGCTTAATGTTCAGTGATAACCTTTGTGATAGCCAATTTCTTTATGTAATAAAATACTTATGAATTACTGTCACATCTGTGTTTTGTGTTTTCAAGTGTAATTGGCTTTTCACAGCAGAGCGTTTGCAGGATTCTGTCAAACACAGCAGGTGTAGTAGCGTCAAACGGGACCATCGGGTCCAGTTTGCTGAGTTGATCCAGAGCCATAAATGTTAATTGAATTCAGCTTTTGTGTACATTAGCGTGGCTGCAAGAAGCTGATATTTACATTTCCACCTCTCATGTTCTCGGTGCTCCCGTTATCTTAGAAACCGGGTCGGCAGAGGGCATTTCTACTGTAGGGCTGTGGTTTTTTTTAGCAATGTTTCTTAGTAATAGATTTAAGTTAATTTGCTCTTTTACAGCAATTACCTGAAAATCTCTGTACTAAAGTGAGGCTATATTACAAGGATGATGCGTGTAAGTACTAGCTTGGAAAAAAATAGTCTTTATAAATACAAGAAACAGGCCCACATTTGTTTTATAGCTTTTATTATGTTTAAAGATATTTTTTATAAGTGCCATCAACATGTCTGTTATAACTGGAGGTGTTGGTTTGGAAATAAAATGTTTTGAATAAATATGTAATTCAAAAGAATTCAGGAATTACAATGTGCAAGTCTATGGTCTGTCAACTGTCCATTTAGGTGACAGTAGAGCGCCCCCTAGTGCTAATGTAAGACTTCTCTTTTGGTATTGGGTGGTTTAACTTTTTGTTACTTGTATAGGGGAAAAAAAAGATGTTTCTGATCCTTGATTCATTACTTTTTTTTAATTAAAGTGCCATTTTTGTTTTAATTGTCCCAATTATCCCATACCGCTGTTTTTCACCCCAAAAGATAAACTAATACTCTGAATTACAAATACAACAGGATGTAAACACAAGATGAAGAATGCATCCAGAGGTGTCATGTAAACATATTTGCATCATAAACAAAACATTTTTCTTCCCTTATTTTTAACACCTTGCAGAGCACCGGGACTTCCTCTGGAAATTATAGAATTATAGAAGTATCTAAATACTTTGATGGAATACTGACATGATGTTAATGTAAAAATATATGAAGTGAAGGCAGCAGCTGCATATTTCCTGAACTGTTCTCTGGGTTTTCTGTTTGGTCTGGAGAGGACATTCTGATGTGTCAAGTGGGTGAGATTAAGGGTTCAGAGCGATTTGTTCCGTTGTTGGTTCACACTTCTTCCTCTGGCTTCCATTTTTGTCGCGTTTAAAACGCAGTCGACTGTATCTTCCCATATTCCTCTAACAGTCTGCGGACGAGCTGGTTCTTCTCCTCCTCGGGCAGGAAGCATGACTCTGCAGAACAGATGTTCTACAAGACACAGGAAGTTACTAAAGTGCATATTTTACTAAGCTTGAGTTCAACTTGAAGAAATGGTTCAGCAATTTGTCGACTGAGCTTGTGAGACGATTCCTAACGCTAGTTAGCTTAGCATAGTCGGTCCAACCTTAAAATCATTCTGATGCGTTCAAGTGTACGGACAACACATTTCCAGCGGTGGAAGAAATAGTTTTGACTAAAAACTTGAATAAAACTAAAAGTCCTGCATTTAAAGTAGTACATAATTGTACTTTCAAAAAAATGTTTATTATATTATTTCCCTTGATGCTGTAATGAGTTCATCACTTATTGTAGAAGCTTCAATGTTTTGAATTATTTTTATCATATTTAGATTACACAAAATGGGTATCATATGTTGCATATGTTAGTTACTTGTTAATTATTCCGTTGTTTAGGAAAAAACATGTTTTTGAGAAATATTTTTTCTTGTCAAAGAAATATATTTAAAACATATAACGTAACAGTTCCAGTATGAACGATACATTCCATTACAAATTGTTCAGAGCCCCATTCTGCTCGTAAACGAGACAAACGTGGAGTTTATTGAGCATTAGAGGGGCTGACGGGCAGATTTTGTAACATTTAAACAGAGACGAGCTACCTACCTCATCCTCTATCTTCTTCTCATACAACTTTTGGCACGAAAGCAAATGAGAGTATCTAACTATTTATTTAATGATCAATCCATGTGCAAACTGGATGAAGCCTGCATAAGAAGCAATATGCTTCAAACGTGGTTCAAAATACATGAACAGTTATAATCAAAATAATGTGAGCCTTTTATCCTGCTTTAATTAGCAGCTGATAAAGATGTCCCATTGCACGGGGCATCCAAACCCAAATTCTATGACTTCCAAACACATTAAAAGGCCTTCATCCTGTAAACAACAGCTGTAGTTACTCATGCGTTTAATCTCACCACTCGTTTGAATTCCTCCTCTGTGAATCCCATGTGTTTGTGCGCCTTGTGGTAGTCGTGTTGCAGCGTTGAGTTGAAGATCAGCGGGTCATCCGTGTTCAGCGAGAAGTTCGCTTTGTCCTTCATGAACCTGCACAAAAGAAACGTGGAAATTCCAGCAAACAATAAAACAAGCGTCCAAATTCCACTTTGATGCAGGTTAATAACGAGGCTGCGATGTAAAATAAGCAGCTCACGTGATGATCGGATGCTTGGTGAAGTCTGGCTCACAGGCGCCTGTCAGCTTACTGGAAATGGGACACACCTGCAACTCAAACAGCACAGGAAGCACTGAGACACCAAATCACTGCAGTCGGTCTGCTTCCAGCTGTAGTTCTGGAGGCTCCTCTAGAGGTCGCTATGCTCCTACTTGATCAAACTCTCCCACTCTGTAATGATGAGTAGGTAACTACCAGATGTAATAGAAATTATTGTAGGAACCAAAAACCTTTTTGATGGAAATGGTGATTGGTGATCGATAGTGATTTCTGCTGACTTCCTACCTCAAAGTGCATGTTCTGATGCAGCAGCTCTTTGTACAGATCTTGGTCTTCCAGGGTTCTGTAGCCGTGTCCCACCCGTTCAGCCTTCAGCACTTTCACAGCCTAAAGCATCAAGGCGGGTCATGAGGCCAAAGGTTATGAACGACACAAAAATCCTCCATGTTGTACATGGCAGCAGGATTTGGAGGCCCTTCCTAGAAGCGCACTTGCGCATCTGTGGTGAACAGCTGAATTGTCACTTTGAGGGACGGCGTTAAAGAGTGGCCACTTGTTAAGGCGGCATGACGTCCTCGTGCCTCACGCAGAAGTAGTTTAATACAGCAGCCGAGATGGAAACAAAGAGTTAAACATGATATTGAAGTTACGTTGCGTAACCCTTCGTGCAGTTGTGCAATCTCAGACCCTCCCAATCTGCTCCTTCGGTGACTTAAACCTTCAGCTGGCCAGTGTCTTGACCAAGTTTATTTCACTCATTTTGTAATGTTTATGCGTGACTTCATTGTTTAGTTCATTTGCTGAGAGGACTCAGTTCACATATGACGCGCTGCTCAAAGAATGTCTCACGTCGCTGCTGAGCGGCTTACCTCCCTCACTACGCACGGGGGCCCCACTTCTCCGGCGTGGACCGTCCTGTGGATCCCACAGCGCTCGGCTTCCTGTTGACAAAATCAATCATAAAATCCTTCAGCAATCTCGCTTCCCCGCGCAACATCTGGCTTTCACATCTGCAATGCGAGGCGCCGTTAATCACTCAGACAGGTTTTTGTGCACTGTTTTTTTGTTTCGGATGGAAAAAGATGGAAGATGGAAAAAGATGTTCTATACTGGGAATTAACTTGAATATGTCAATTCACTTCATGAAATGGATGATCTTGTCATTCCTCTACCTGCATACAGTTAGTGTGGCCTGCTTAATCTGCAGGTATCTAGAGGGCATGTAGCTAAGAAGATAACCCTCAATATAAGTGTGGACTCTGCTCAGTGAGTTTTGCTTCTTGTTAATAATTGAAGTATGACAAATACACAAACATAATCATAAACTGTTGGCGTACAAAATGAGGAACGTACACATGACATTTGATTTTAAGAGACTATTTGAAAGAAGAAACTGACTTATGATTTATGGACACGGTTTGAAATGTCTATAACGTCCTTATTGATGTTTGATTGGTAAAAACTATGTGAAATACCGTCCATCGAACTGGGTTGTTATGATTTTTGATCAGTTGCGGCAGGTATTTTCTAGTCTACACCTTTGTACCAACTATTGTAAGCAATAAGTGAAACAGATTTTAATATGGGGTTTACTGTCCACCTTTGCACTTTTATACAATTAATACATCACGGAAACGTCAGAAACATATAAATGTGTGATAATAAATGTTACACAGTCAGATGACTATTAGCATACTTATAGTACATACACTTCCTCTAGTATCCATTCTCCAGAGAAATATATAGAAAAGATTAATGCAACATTTTTATGAACTGTCCCCATGAGGTCGAATCCAACCATCAATGCAAAATGAGTAAGACTCATTCCACGTCCATTAATGTGCCGCGTTCACTATGGTCTCACAGGCTACATCGATTACTCACCGTGGTCTTTTAATTAATCAATAAATGCTGGCTTCTTCGTGGGAGGAGATGGTTTAGTGAGTATTAGGTTTCACTTTAGTACTGTGTTGGTTACAGATAACGACATTATAGTCCACATGAATTATTACAGTGAAATGTAAAAGATGATCGATGTACTTGTACTGTATCAACAACACAAAACCTCCGTTTCTTTCAAAAGATTCCTGTAATTTGTTGGAGCAATAAACTGCCCGATTCCTCCAGCCTGCAGCATTGCACACGAGGTGGACTCTGGGACTATGAAATGTTTTTACAACCTCAAAACGATGCATTATGCTGACACTAAAAAGGACGTCCATCGCGCCGTTGCGCCAAAGTAAGCAGTCTACTTATGTGTCCTGTACGCAATTTTGTTCGGAAATGCACATATAACACGCATAAAACACGTGATGAAGCTGCTGTTTGTCAGTGGCTCACCTTTGTGCTTAAGAGTAATGCAAAGCCTCTCCCTCATAACAAGTAGGTGGCAGCCTTTTACCTCTACTGGATCCATGCAATCAGCAATAAAAAACAACTATGGTCCAATTGGGGAGCAAAAGAACACAAAGTTTGAACAAACTGCTGAAATTCAGAGAGACGGTGTTACGTGTGACTCTGTGTTTGGTTTTTACAATTTCCCTGGACGGTGTTTTTTTTCCCTCTCTTTTATAAAATCTCTCTTCAAACTCTTATTTTCTCTTCACCTTTACAATTTTCCGTGGTTTTAACTGCACTACTTTGAGGCTTTGGTGACCCTTTGTGGGCTCGGTACTGACAGGTTGGGAACCAGTGCTTTCGCTGACTTTGCTTTTAATTTCTACCATCATTGCTGCTGTTGGTACACAAGGTGTTTTTACGGGTGTGGCGCGCAAGGCTTTGCTTATAGTAAACGAAAGAAACCGCAACGGCGACACGTCTCTGCACACACACACTCACCTCGTAGGCCTTCCTGTGCTCTGGATTGGCTTCACAGTTGAGTGACTCATCGCCTGCCAGGTCGATGGCGACCACGCCACCACTCTGGTGTTTCTTACACAGCTCCACCACGTCCATGGACCAGTCTGGACAATTTAAAACACAGGCGAATGCAGGTGAAATGTGATATAAGAGTTAAAGCAGCGTGCCACCTCCTTCGCACCAATCTGCAGCAACGATGAGCAGAAGACAACGTTTACCAACATGATGCTTGCTGGCAGGAACCAGGACTACTTCTTAAAGGAACAGTTCAACATTTTAGGAAAGGTGTTCATTTGCGTTGTAAGATGTACTGAGTAAGATAAGAGGATTGATACTGATGACTGATGACTGTAGTGCAGCCTGAATACAAAGTTTAGCTTCACCTAATGATGGGATTTTTTAAAAACCTTTTAGACAATCGGGCAAGCTGCATTCCCTCGTTTCCAGTCTTTGTGCTAAGCTGAGCAGCCGACAGTAATCTCACATGTAACCTCTAGACACGAGAGCGCTATCAGTGTTCTTATATTCTTGCATGTAAGCAGAATTCATATTTGTATTTGCTAATATTTACTTTTTATTTCTGGATAAAAATACTTTTCTAAACCAGATCACCATTATAATTCATATTTATACTAACGCAATGTAAGTTTGCATACTGCACACATAGTTAGTCTTTCATAAGTCCATTACATACTGTTATGCGACAGCTTGTATGAGATGATGTTTTCCTTAAAACAGTACTTTGTTTTCTCATGTCTCAAGTCTTCTGCATCAAGGTCTAATTGCTCTGCAGTTAGTTTGTGGTTATGTGCAGAGTCGAATCATACCCGGCTGTTGGGCAACACAGGAAATAGCTGCAGAAATCGACAACCACATTTGTAGCAGCATCCAGACTATAGTCACTGCGTCGTGTGTATATATATATATATATATATTATAGTATGACTTGACTTTGGTCACGCCCTGATCTTTCCTCTACTGAAATTCTCAGCATCCTCAGCTGTACTACTTGTGTTTAGTGCTGATTTGCAAATGTCAGCATGCTGACACACTAAAGTGGGGAAAGGAAGGAAGGAAACACTAAGACACCACATTGAGAAACCTTATTTCACAAGGCAGGCGGCAGCACGAAGAGTTCATTACTTGGCATGTGACGCATGCAGCATAGAATGGACCTGGCTTTGATTTCGAAGGCGCTCTCCCCCTCACTGAGGCCCTGGTTAACCAGGCGCACTACGTCGTCTGGGCTCACGTCCCCTCTGAACGAAAAGGAGACAGAAAAATGCGATGAGAAAACTTGAACATATTCCTATTTTTAAGTTTCCAAAAGACTTACTCAGCCTGTCCCCACGGGATTGGCTCCACTTTGGTGTTAGCCAGAAGATGTGGGCTGTATCTGACCTCAACATAAATCACTCCCTCTCTGGCTTTGTCCTCCACGAACTCATAGGCTATCCTCTTTATGGCCTCTCTGTCTCCGCTGTGAGGGAACATAGAAAAACACAAGGCGAGTGACATTACGCTTTGGCGCTCTTAAATTAGCAATGTAGGTTAATTAACTGATTTAACTGATTTTATCTAAATAGCTTACATCAATTCTAGGATTAAAATGAGTAGTGAGAGAAAGATGTGGGAGGCAAGCAGGGGGAACCCTTTGAAATATTTATAATCAAAGATTTATTATTCATTTCAGTCTGCTCTTGTGACAGGTATTACAAATTGTAAACGTCATCTAACAGGTTAGCGTTCGCTGGGGGTGATGACGGTGCGTTTGGTCATAATTTACTTTTTCTAATCACAATCACAATCACACAATCACAATCACTCAGTACACTCAGTTTTGAGAAACTGAATGCACACCGGGCTCTTGGTACACTCATTGTTGATTTAACATTGTGAAGTACTGTAAAATGGGCCATGGGTTAAAAATGCAATGTGAGTCGCTTTGGATAACAGCGTCAGCTAAATGACCTGCAATGTAATGTGAATATAAATGTGCTCTTACCAACCTTTTCTAACAAATGCTGAGTTTAGAATCATATTAACTTTTATTGTTTGTCGGAGCTGCAACAATTGTCAATCTGAAAATGAATCAGCGACTATTTTGATAATTGAAGAATAGTTAAAGTAATGTTAAAGGAACAATAGAACAAAATGTCCCTGCTCTTTTCTTGTAAATGTGATGTGTATATATAAATAAAGTTTTCATACAGCCGTTGGTTGTGCTCTGTTGGGACAATATTAAAACCCGCCCCAGCTCCATTTCCATCATTACTTCAGTCTCAGTTGCACACTTTCTGGCCTCCGTATGACACCACAGCTTCCAGCATTTACGCCGGTCTGAATGCCCGTTGTTCTCCAGCGTCAACTCACTACCTCCCCCGCGTTCCCCCAACCAGACCCCCCACCCCCGCCCCTCCAAACGCCCACCACCACATCACTACTGAGTTTGCACGAACAATCCTGCATGAGCTAAACTCAGCTGTTCCCTGTGTTGTTGAAGCCTCACTGCAGACAAGGCTTTCCTTCGTACTAGAAGGTCCATTCAGCACAGCAGGGCGCTGCAGCCCCTCCACTACAGGCCGTCATTGTTGAATGGGACTGAAAGACTTTATTTGCTCTTTTCTCAACAGTTCATGTCACTGGAGGACTAAATATAAGGCGCCGGAAAGTGTTCCCGAACAAATCTCACTCCCCTCTTAGTGTAGTTGCCAAGGTGACACTTGATCAGGATATTGATGTTCTTCCTGTTCTGCATGTCAGGCCTTTAGAATCCCCACCCCTCCATATCAGCTACGAAACACACTACACGCCCGCGACACATGCAACATGATTGTATAACACAACTGCACCTGCGTGTAAAAAACACCTGGACGTTGACCCTCATCGTAGGCACATTCCTGTGACATAATGAGTTGGACCCTGACTCTTAATTTCAACTACTTAGCAAAAAGAAGATATTAATACATAGAATATAGATACATAGAAAATGATGAATCTGAGTCATTAAAGGAAACGAGTGACTACTTACGCAATGACGTGCATGTACTCTGCAAACTTTCCCAGGAACTTGGTGAGGGTGACTGGCTTTTTGAGGACAATGATCTGCGTCATTCCTTCCACTGTATCTGCTGGCAGAGAGATGCCGCGTCTCCTAGAAACAGGAGAGGGAGAAAGGAAACTATTATTCCCGGATCCGTGTTTAAACTTAAATGTGTACTTTGTTTCATTTGAATGGCAATATTTGAGTGTTAAAGCCGCTTTAATCTACATTGTTTTGGATAGCGACATATGTTGGCTGTTTGATGTGAAAGGTGTCGCTCATAGTGACAAACCCAAAGAGAATGATCACGCAACTGAACCTCTATTAACTCTTAGCTCTACTGAACATTTTAGCATCTCTTAGCTCATTGTTGGCACACAAATTTCATATTTTGGTTATCAGCTTTTTTTGGGATAAATGCTGTACACTCCCCGCCGGGGACCAAACAGCAGACAGACAGTTCCATCAACTGGTAAAACATGGTGGAGCATCTTCGGCAGCTAAAGACGTTTCCCTCAAAAGACGGTGGAGACCACAACAGAGCTCATTAGGTGATCAAGAGCACGACTCCAAAGTAAATTGCAGTTGTGTTTGCACAGCAGTAACTGTTTAGGGACCTGTTTTCCATATAAACTCACATAAGACCTGATTACAATGAACCAGTATTTATTATTAAACATAAACACATTTTGAAGGATCACATTATTTGTGTAATCCATGAAAAAAAGACCACAATATAATCTAGACACATTTTGCAGCTGCTTTGTTGTTTTTCTGTCTCTCTCTTTAATGGATACGACTTTGTAAGGTCAAAAACATTTCGAGCATATATTTTTCCTTCGCGTAATAAATGTTATTGACAATTATAGACCGATATGAGTAGAGTTGGTTCGACTAATCAATAAAACTTGATGACTTACTTGGCAACATCAAGAATAGTCTGCACCCTGATGGCTCCATCGAGGTGCACATGCAGCTCTACCTGTGCATGAGAAAGGTATACAACAATAAATCATTCATCAATCCATTCAAACTAACTATTTCCAAAGAGATGGATGTTGCTACAAATCCGAGCCTCATGGTAAACTATAGTTTTGAGGTAAATAACTAAATATGTTTTGGGGGGGTTTGGTTGAAGAGAAAACACACCATCATTATTTAAACTGAACTGGTGGTACGCTTTGAAATTCCAATGGTGCGTTGGTCAAATTATTATCTGCTATTCAAGCAGCTCCCTTATCGCATTGCTCCTCTGATGGGACGCTGTGCAGCTGGTGTCCGTTCGAGATAAAATGTTTACCACATGGCGAAATGTGTTCTACTGAGACTGCTTGCGTGTATCTTTTGTTTACATGAAGTTTCCTCCCTTAAAAGGCTAAAGTTGGCCCAGCTACCACTTCTTTGGAAAGTCCTCCAGTACACACGCAGAACTTCCTGTTGCACATTATGATGAATTCTTACGAAGAGATTACACCGATGAAAAGGCGCTGCTCTGTACGTACATATGAAGGGCTAAGAATCGTTGTGTTACACACATAAACCACACCAAAATTCAAAGTGTCAGGAAATGCAAACACATTTCTGAATATGTTATTCCATTATTTTACTGTTTGCCGATAATCAATTAATAAATGAATTAAGGAAATAATTGCATTGCACATGCTGTAATAACCTTGTAGCTGCTATAAGGTGACTACAGTCTGAATACGATGAGTTGCATTGATGGGGAACTGGCAGTTGCCAGAAAAGACAAAGGCCCAACCAGGGGTATCATTTCCACAAATTAATATTTAATGAGATTGTGTCCCTGCCAGGAGCCCAATAAGGCTTCTCCCTGAACAATGTATGAACTCTCATCAACACAAAGCCCCCTCACTCTTCCTGGTATAGACCATTTTGTGTGTGTGTGTGGGTGGGTGGGCACACACGCACACACGCACGCACTCCTAATTCCGGTAGTTTAACAGTGATCTGTCTCCCCGGCTGATCACGTACCTTGGGCTGGTTGAACACTTCTTCACGCTTGGCCATCACGGAGAGGATCCTGCAGCGGGGGACTGTGGCGGTGCTCAGTGCGCCGAGGACTGTGCATCTGGCCGCGGCCCGGCTGCGCATTCTGAAAACACGCCCCGAAAGGCGCAATAAAAAAAAAAACCGTTCGTTTAAAAGTGCGTTATCGCCACAATGACGCGACGGGCTGCACGTGTCCGTGGTTTTGGAAAGACACACTTGTTGACCACGGAGGGGATTAAGGGCTCTGGACGTGGCAGCGGCTTAATTGAACCCATGTGACGCGAGCTTTTTTTTTTGCCGCTGGTCTGATCGATAAATATCCGCGTCTCATGTTTTAATGCGCGGTGTTCACGAGTCGTGCAGATTGCTCAGAAATGTCTGGGGTGAACTTGAAATTGAGACTGCTGGAAGGATGAGATGTGGATCTATCGCTTTTATTTCTAACACGAGAAGTAGTGAAATGTGACTTAATGTGTCCATGGATCTACAATAGTATTAATAGTTGCGAAATACATTATTTTCTTACTTCCTTTTTATTTCTTTACGATGTATTGGGGCGTATTGCATATTTTTCTGGTATAACTTATTAATTGTATGGTAGTGTGACGCACACAAAATACAGAACAATACGTTCGCTTGGTTTTAATATTTGGTACAACAACTTTGATGTTTTTAGTTCAGAGCAGCGTGGGACGTGTGTTTCTACTCATGTCCAGTAGGTGGCTCTGAGAAAAGCCACATGTTTTCCTGCTTCATCACGTTTCCTGATTTTGCCAGAAAATATTGTTTGTTTATTTGGTATAGAGAATAAACAAATAGATGAGGAGGAAGGTCCATCGTCTCTGTAATGTTACACGCTGGTTTGGGGAATGTTTGGGAGCCAGAATTCGATAGTTCTGTTCTGTCATCGTCTTGCTCTTTAAAACCAGAAATGATCGTTTCTCGTGAGCAGAAACACGTTGAAAGGTTAAAGAAGCAAACAGAAGAACGTTTCCTAATATGTCACATTAATAAGCCCAACTTTGAATACAAATCGGAATGTTTCCTTCTTATACGTTTACTTCTACCAACAGTTATTTATTATTAAAGTTACATAAGTATTGGTGTCTTTGCTTAATGTTATATTGGTACATATGCATATTGTCTAAAATAAAAAATACTACCATGACATATAAAACATGATGTAATAACAACATGTCAAACCAACGATGTGTTAAAAGAAAGTATTACCACGTCAGTACTGTAGATGTTTCATATAAATGATATATACATATTTAAAGGAATTGTTTCATTGGCAAACATACAGCAGTGGGGTCTGCAAGAATTAAACAATGAGTACATCAGATTTTGACAAAATGGTTCATTCTTATTTGTATTTTCTTGTCTAACATCTCAAAATGATAAAATGTTAACACAGTCTAAAAGGCCACGCTTAGTGGTTTGTCCTGTTGTACTGACACTGATCAGCACCGTGGTCTGTGAGTGTGGCTTTCACTTCCCCTTCCATTGTGTGCTGCTGACAGACGAAACCGGTGGCCTATTTTTCGTGCATTCAAAAAGGAGCTGTAATACTTGCTGGCAGTAAGGAGATCTTTAGAGATATTTAATCTCTCTGTGAAATAGAATTTACCAAGCATCAATAATTATCTTCCCGTAATCCCAGAGAGTGCAAAGCAAAGCACCCTTTGGTTTGTAATGGGAAAACAAATATATATATATATATAAATATAGGCGCAATAAATGTTTTATTTAATAAACAGTTTATAGATTGCAGGTGCTGTGACTGTGTGGCGATGGGAAAGAATTGAGCTGTGTGTCTCACACTGATACGATGTCTCCAGTTTGCTGGCTGTAAAGTCACAACAAGTTGGTTCACAAATGTAGCAACGGGAAATTTATTTTGGAGGCAAATATTGATGACCTACTTTTACTTAAAATTAGATTTAGATAATGAACACAACATATACTGTTACATTGTTTGTTTCTATAGATCAACTCTCAACCTACCAACCTACTTAACATACGAGGACTAATCACTGTAAATAACTGAAACACATTTTCAAACATAGTACATAATGTCTTTTAAAAAAGATAACTATGGCCCCCACAAACCATGTGAATTATCTTTTATAGCAGAAATGTATAAAATGATTTGAGATTGAACCGTGGTGCAGAATAATATTAACCAAACCACTGGTAATAAATATTTTAAATTAACACAGAGATTTCCTGCAGGGAAAATATGGCATATGAACACTTGTCAGAAAGGAGAAGACCAGTATTTGCATCTTGTGCGTTTTTTGAAAGGTTTGTTCCTTATTTAAGAAAAGTTTTTCTCAAGGATCACCAAACTTGAAAGCAGAAGGACAACGTAGCTAATCGAACGAGTAATTGAGCAGCAAGACGGGGAAACAGTTATGTGCCCTGTCGAATTATCACCTTTTGTGTTTTTGGAAATGTGAAATAGCTCAAATGTCAAATTTTATGGAAAATAAAACACAGACCTGTCACACCTTTCTGGGGTGTCCTGTCATTTTTTCTATCAAAAATGCAAATCAAGGAGTGTTTAGTGAATAGTTTGAGGTGCTGTTCTTGATAAACATGCTCTATTTTTATGCTTTTTTTAATGCACCCCGCATCTTTTTGGTCCAAAAAGAAATAAATAAATTGCTTTTTCAGTCCAGCAGATGGTGCCGTGTGTTTTTTCATACAGGAGAGGTCACAGGTCAGCGTGAGTGGGAGGAAGTTGGTCATAACAAAGATGGAGACATCGAAGAAATAAATCAGAAATGAAAACGTACGGACTTATTTTGTATTTTCTGTTGTTGTTTTTTTTAAGGGAAGAGAGCTTTGGGTCTGACGCATGCGACCACCCACCTCACGCGCAAAGACGCGCGTCCACGCGACGCGGCGGAAAACGACGGCGTTTGTCACACGCGCAAGACACCGGAACCCACGTAAGTCACACCAGGACAAACGTAACACGACCTCCTGCACAATGCACCACAACAAATACTCAGAGCAAAGTACTGACCCGACATGCAGGGACGTGATGGACAGTTCATACAGACCTGCGGCCCACCTCATGCACAACTAAATGTCCCCCTGGAAGGATAAACGCACTGGCCTGATGTGGTTGCACTTATTTGCAGCTGCTTTCAAAAGGCAGTAATTGTTATTTTGGGCTGTTGGGATCCCTTTGTCATCTAAACGCCCAGCAGGTGTCTCTACAACATTAGTTAACTAAATTATCGGTGTCAGTTTCTGCAAACAGTAATTATGAAAGCAACCTCAAAGCAGAAGTACACAATAGCTCATGCAGATACTTTTGGATGTATAATTTGAACTAATCCAGCAGTTTAATCCAACTTGTAAAGCAATCGTCCTTCAATCGAGCATTTATATTTATTTTACAATACACACTTATTATTTTGTTGTGTGTATTCATCCTCAGCAGTAAAATGGTTTATCGAAACTTTGTCAACTATATTAATGTCAATTCAATCATCCATCCAGCCTGTCAAGTATCCTTTGAGGCCCACTCTTAGTCCCGACAGAATAAAACCCTTTTTTCTTTTCATTATCTGTATAATGCGTATTCTCCACCTCTACTGGGATCTACAGCACATTGTTAGTTTGTCAGTGGCTTCCGAAAACTTTTCAACCTCAAGCATTGTAAAATGGATGTGATGGATGGAGGGAGGGTGAGGGGGGCGGGGGGGTCTTTGAGGGTTTACCATGGCTGGGGGGGCTAAGAGCTGCAGAAATCTCTTGCACTCATACAAGACTCTCATGAGGTGCTACAAATGTAGTTGGACTGTGAATCTTCACTCTGTTCCCCAGAATGCAGATTTAACAAAATAATCATGCAAGCATAAGCATGACATTCTGTAGAGCGTGTGTCGCGCTTTTACTTTCATCAGAATCCCATGTTAAAGGGCCATGTCTTAAAATGATGTTTCCAGTCATGCGTTTGTGTTCATTTTATTATCATTCAACTTGCCACCAGCTGCATTACATCCTTATAAAACCCCCCTGATGATTTGGCTTTCTGTGTTCTCTTCTACCTGAACGTGGCGCACAATCATACCTAAAAAATATTGACACCACGTGTACCATGCGAGGAAGTGGTTGACTTCATGAGTCGACTCCTTGTCCCCTTTTTTTATTTGTTCTCATTTAATTTTAGTAAGTGAAGCTAGAAATGGACGTGTTGTTGGTTTAGGTGTGTCAACGAATGCAGGAGGCTATTTCCACTCGCTTGCTGCAATCATCTCTCCACAAGCCGATGTGGGTGAGCGAGGCAGCACCGGCGTCCTCCAGTCAGAGGATTTGGCGGTTTGATTCCCGGGTCCGGCTAACCCGCTTGTCCATGTGTCCTTGGGCAAAACACTTGACCCCAAAGTTGCTCCAGTGACCCCAGCGTGCGGATGTTAGTTACTGATGGGCAGGTGGCACTGTGCACGGTAGCTCCTGTCTTCACTGTGTGAACGGGGGTGAATGATGACATGATGTGTTAAAGCTCTTTGAGTGGTCGGAGGACTATAAAGTGCTGTACAAGTACAGTCCATTTACCATGTTACCGCAAGAACAGTGAGCCCTGTAAAAAAAGGTTTACATAATTGTGTTGTGAGAGTGTGTTGAGACAAAAAACGCCTCAATACTGCAACGTGTGTCAGATGGCTTTGTAGTTACATCAATGGAGAGACTAAACACCCAGTCATGTAAGGGTCCTCTGCAAGACAAATTACATAAATATTTTTAATTGGATCTGATGATGGCAAAGTAACATTTTATCCAAGGCTTTCAGTAACTTCTACCCTTGTATGGTGTTTGGGTCCGTTGGACCCATTTTTATTTTTTATCAAAAGAAAAATGAATCTACAAAAAATAAACCTTGACTGTGTGATTCGTTATCACATTTGATCAAAATGGCCAAAGGATTATAAGCACAGAATTGCAATTTATTTTGGAAGAGACAAAAACTTATAATGATATAATGATAATGGACTTTTTTTTGGCAGAATATTTTTAAACTTTTTTTTTTTCATGACATTTTTTGACACAACATAATTAGACTTTTTTTTATTCAAAACAACATTTTCCAACTACATTTTTTTAACTTTTATTTCTAT